CAAAAAATCTGAAAATCTGGGCAGATTTTCAGAATTTTCGGGTGCCGACTTCGCGGGTTTATTCTGGCCGAATCACTTGGAATTTTGGGGAGATATTTTTTGGTAATTGAAGAGGACATTGTGAGCTTTCCAACGGTATCCGAAACCTATGATTTTGATGGTCGGAAGTTGTCGAAAAATTGCCTCAAACATGCCCAAAAAATTTGAAAATTCAGCGACCGTTTGTGAAAGAAATTTCAAACTTCAGCGACCGGTTCTGAAACTTTGAAATTTCAGTGACCGTTTTGAAATTTTCAGGTAACTTCAGTGACCATTTGTGAAATTAACCCGTTTAAATACTGGGTCAATTTCACTTTTGGTAACTCTTAATTTTTACTTTCAAAATCAGTCCTTGTATTTGCCATTACTACTGAATTTAACATTCTGGTCCTATACGGGCGTTAAAAATTGACAAAAAGTTGACGTATGTTGTATTTCAAGATAATTTAAGTCATTTCATTGTGATATAATTGAAGACGGTTTATTTTTGATTTGTTTAGCCATTACTTGATTAGATGGTAGACAAAAAAATGTCAATATTTAACTTTCAATATCTTGTAGGGTTTAGACGTCGTATTTAATAATGGGATGTGGTGACTAATATCATGATAAGTTCTATTTACTTTTTTATTTCTTTTGCCCTTTCAAATCTTCTTAACTTATCATTCTTGCGAACCCTAGGAGCCCCATTTCCTACTCGTACACTATCTTGAGTTAGTCAATTCCTTAAGGAGAATCATTCTACTAAGAATATGATCATCCACTTGCATTTGTCAAGCATATAACCAGTATTACATCTCAAGGCTGGCCATCCCTTTTCTTCCTATTTTGGAACTTCAATCTTGGAATGAAGTCCCATATATTTTCAAAGGTAAGCAGTAGGTATTGTGAGGCACCTAAAAAGCAAATAGTCATAATAGCAATAGGAATCAAGAAAAAGTAGAGGATGCGTCCAATTTGACATTAGAAAGGGCATTGGCACGTCGAGAAAGAGTGAGCACTTCGTGGGATGAAGGTGGTTAAGAGTAAGGTTTTTTAATCGAGAAAGGAAAGGAAGAATGCAATCCTATTAAACCAACTCTTGGGAATAGAAGACGAATCTATATTTTTACTAGCATTTAATGACTAATATTGTAAATTAAATTGAAGTTAGTAATCTGATTGGAACATTTGAAAGTTACCCTATCCAATTGGATATTTCAGTAAAATGTAAGGGACAAAAAAAGAAATTAACCCTCCAAATGCTAGTAATCATTTTATAGTCAATGCACTTCCAAATTTATGTTACTCAGTAATATGGCTTTATAGTCCGACCTTTTTTAGAAAGGCTATGCACAACACTGCATCCTTCAGTAAGTTAGAAGTGCTTTTAAATAAAAGACGACTTTGATACAAGACAGAATTTTACGACTTAGAATAGTATGACTACTGCATTGTTTATAATCAATTAAGCTATTCACAAAATTTATAAAAAAAAAAAAAAGAGGAAGAAGAAGACTACAATTAGAACGAGGTTGTTAAACAAGTCCTCCATATAAAATTATATTACATACAAAAAGATCCTGCTCTACAAGATATCCTAATAGCACTCAGACAAATTTGTTTATATATATATATATATATATATATATATTAATTATACAAACAAACAAGACCTTACTAATCTTTATCAGCTAAGAAAGTTGGAAGTCGAGTACAAAAAAGGTAGCTCTCTTTCTTAAGCTCATTCAAAATCTAAAGTATCCCCAAACGCCAACAAGAATGATGAGAAGACTCGTGGCCACAACTACCATTGGCATGTAGACAGATGATGAAACTGAACTCGCAGCTGCGCATTTCGAACTGACAGAAATAGCATCTTCAGAGCTTGAGTCATGAGATTGTCCATCTATATTTTTTTTGTTGGAATCTATATCCTTCGACTCGTCCAAGGTATCAACATTAGTAGCTTTGCAATCCTGCACAACCCACTTCTAAGACATTAGTGGCTTGTGTCGTAGGAAGGACTGTACAGTATTGGATGAAGGAAAGAAACTAAAATGTTGTCTATTATAATGTCCAACTACGGCATATACATACTAACATATTCACAGTCAAAAAAATATCTCACCTCAGTCCCTGCCAATTCCTTTTCAAGGCTTACGTCAGTATCCTTTGAATCCTGAGGCAGACCACATTGAACTGGTCCAGCTTGCAGTTTCACTTGAAAGCGAATTCTTCTAGAGGCAGTTCCACGTGATATAAACTCCATTGCATTGGCTTGATTCGAAGTTTCCCGAGTCCTTAACTTGATTCCAGTTCTGTCAGTGGTCATCGGGTTGCTGGAACCACCAGATTCATCTGTGGTGTTTAATATTTTAGGTATATGATTGCCAGCAGAGACACTGGAGAAAGTATTTGGTACTAGATGACTGCTATTTGTGAGGCCCGACATTCTGCGCTGAAAATGATCGCTGACTTGAGGCTTGCTGTAAGCATTTTGCCCAGAACTGGTCATTTCGAAAGTGACGTCTTGCTGTGACAAAGGATCTGGTTGGATAGTTTCCATACCTGAGTCACTTTGCATTTGCAGAACATCAAACTGTCCAGACTAATGTGTCATAAGATTACAAAAGGTTAATTTTCAATTATAGGACTAAATCTCAGGCAGGTAGTTCAATAAGCAACTTAGCAACTTCCATTTACCTGTAACTGGGACATTGCCTCTGATTTACAACATGAATTAATATCCTCAATTAATTCCGATGACATTGCATAATCCTCATAGGGATGCTCATCTGAATAGACAAGAACCGAGTTCAAAAACTCGTTAATATCAGCAGCATTTGTTCCATATTGAATTGGGTTATCTCTATCATCCCTGTTGATGTTATCACAGAAGGTTTTATCCAAATAAGAATTTCCAAAGTTGATTTCCATCTGTGCATGCAATGGGGAGAAGATTTTTGAATCCATTGACTCTGGTATTGTAGGGTACAAACTTCCTAGTGCTTTTTCCAGCTCTGGGTCAGGCTGAAGAAAAAAGCAACAACAAAAATGACGTATCATTTAGTAGCCATTAATTGATGTTAGAAAGATAGCTATTCATTTAAAGTTGACAAAACTCACTGGAATAGATATCGAGCCTAACATGTGACAATCAGGAGGTGTAGGAGTGTCACTTGTTGCTTTCTCAGAATTTAAGGTCGGACGGCTTTCAGCCAGGCCACTCGCTGCAGGAGTAATTGATTCCAATCGTTCATCTTCAGCGAAAGGTTTGACTATAGTAGAAGTAGGAGATGGTATAATCTCTTCACCTCCATCAATGTTTGAACTTTCAGTGTTCTCTTCTTGTTTGATGTCAGTCTTTTTAAAAAGGCGGCAGAGCACAAATGAACCCTGGAAAAGGCATCCATCATCAATTACAGAAGAAGAAGAAAAACAATACACAGCATAGACTTATAAATTAATTAAATACTGATATCCCATTGTTTTATTTTTCTGAGCAGAGTGGGATGCCAAACTTAAATGAATAAAAGACAATAAACCCGCAAATATTTCCTCATTCAATTAAGCAAAGGCAAGCTACCATTCCTCTACCATTTGATGCGAAAATTAGCATACCAATCAAACGTTCTACAAACAGATAGCTAAGGATATTAACAACCAGCAAACAGAGATAACATGACAATGTCATAGATTAATCCAAACAAATCAAATGGTCCAAGAGAAGTTCCAACCTGACCAGGATGAGAGCCATCGAGTGACTTTTCTATTGCTCGATACTCATGTATCACCCAAATAGTCCTCTTGCCCTCCGGAGCACGACCCTCATGGAAAACTAGAGACTTTTTCATACCAATTTTTACTCCCTTCTTAGAAATTATGTTCCTATCTTTGCCTGTTGCTTTCCAGTAACCTTTTTCAGTAGCCCGGTTTGACCTCTGACCATTCTGATACTTGCGATCCTTCGGGCAAAAGAAAAACCACTCATTGTCCGCCGCTATCACAGATAAATCTGCACAAACACAATGATATACAGATTCATGAATACCCGCACTTTTTTTGTCCCAAATCCGTTCACGAGCTACTTATCTTGGTTGGCAATTGATTTATTTATTTATTTTCAAATTTGTGCTACATTTTACTAAATGGTGCACAAGATACACATCCATACAAGAATTTCACTAAAATACAAAACATTATCATTTCAAAGGGATTAAAGAAAAAACCCCAAATTTCAATTGGAACCGTTCATCTCGGAAATCCCCAAAACCCAATATTATAAACCACCAAAATCAAAGCACATAATTCAACCCCCCAATAAAAAAGTTAAAATTATAATAATTCGTCCATGAAGTACACGATCATTTCCAGAAAACACCAATAGATTAATAAAAATCGACAACAAATTTTACCCGGCAAGTCCCAAGGCTCCCATTTACAAACATCAATTTCACGTATAACATTAACTTCTTTTCCACGTCCGTTTATTTTCAGCCTCAGATAATGATCGATCAGCTCCTCATCCGTCGGCCGGAACCTGTATCCGACCGGTAAAGGGTCCACCGGCATCACTGCCATAAATCAAGCTTCTTCAATCTTTCCGTCAAACAAAATCAATCCACTTTAAACACCACAAAACCAGATAAAAATTACAGAATAAAAATACAGTAAGATGAATATATATATGTGTAGATATACAGAGATAGTAGGTATTGCAGAGATTCTAAGGAATTCAGTGTTTGTGAAGGAACTATCCAAGAAAAGTGTCAGAGGGACCGCGCTATAATTCTGCGTATATACCGTGTTTGATTGAAATTTCTATATTGCCCTTGGCAAATGGAAAGTTCTGAGGGGGTGGTCATATAGCCACCGGAATGAATGAGATTACTCTTAATAATGACGTACGTCGACTTCTTTTTAATATTTAAAATTACAAGAAAAACAAGCAAGAATATATTTTTATGTCGATCAACAAGCAATTTGGATTTAAATTATTCCATCTTAAGTGCGTGAATAAATAAATTTTTGTTTAAAAAATATATATATAATTATCAGCAACTCAATCTACACTCGACTCATTTTTATAAACATTAAAACCATTTTTTATTCACGCATTTCTTAAAATCTATAATGTTTTTATTTATTTTTAAATAAAATAGTTTATAAACGTTTCTCAAACATGCTTTACTATTAATTGCAACCCAACTCGTCGAATCTATTAAGAAGTGATATTTACGTCTCGATTATTAATTTTTTTTAATCGAAAAGGCCTATCCATTCTTGTGATATGAGTATTTGTTGAGGGCTATATTTCAACTTCTTTCCTTTTTTGTAGTTATAATCTAACTCGCCAAATAAATGTGAATCAATCACACCATAAGATAAAACTTCATCAATTCAAACTGCAAATTACCAATTACAAATTCTAGCAGTTTCTAAGAATTCCATCAATCTGATGTGGATTTGGACAAGTCATTGATCTTCTAGCAAAAGGCAAGTTGAAGTGGACTTGTGAGAAGATGAATTGGAGCCCACCGGTCATTTTCCGGTGAGAAATGACGGTGGAAGGAGTCATCATCCACCATTCTCATGGCGGTCAGGTAATTGGCAGCACTGTATGGGCAATCAACGATGTATTTTTTGAACGGATTTTGCTACTTGTACATGGAGTTCAGATTCAATAAAAAAAAATTATGGACCCCCCTTTGTGAGGAGACGTACACTGGGATGTCAACCCCGATATACAAGTAATAAAACCATTTTTGAACAATATTCAATAATAAAATATTATGTGACATCATGTTAAATTATATGTACATACGGCAAAATTCCTTTCTTTACTAGAAACAAACTGTAAAAAAAAAGTTCAAATTGATTAGTTTTTGTGAATTTTTGTTTCTTCACGGAAGGTTAATAATTTAAGTTGGTGTTTGGTGAGAATTAAAATCAGATTTTTATTAGATTATGATATAAGTTTTTGAAATGTGTGGTTGAAAAGTTGTGGGACCCATAAAAGATATAGTTAATATTGATTGTTTGATTTTGATTAAAATTTGATTTTAATCCTAAACAAATTGGGGCCTAATTTTTTTATTAGACATACCCTTGTTTGATCACATATCTTAAAATTCATTTTTTCTTAAGCTCATTTTTAATTACATATTTTCACAATAAAATATTTTACATGTAAATTTAAAATTTTTCCTACTTTTTAACTATGCATTCTCCAAAAATTTACTATTACAAATATCTTTTTCAGCCAATAATAATAATAATAATAATAATAATAATAATAATAATAGGGCTCGAACATAGACCGCTTATGTTTGATGGGGATTAAAGTTTCATTGTTACCCATATTTCAAAATTACGAATAAAAAAACAAGTCTTATTGAAACTTGAAGATCCGCATATGCCGCTCAAGGTTTTTTGGGCGATGAGGTTTTAACATTAAAGAGGTATGCCAACTTTTTCCTATCGAGCCATTTTCACGTACGGGTCAAACTTCTATACAAATTCTCATAAACAAATGAACTCAAAAGTTTACATATTTTGATATATATTGTTTTACGTTTTACTAATGAGTTTTGAAATTCGGTGACCTCCTGAAAATTTTTAGGAAAGTTCAGTGACTATTTAGGGTATTAACCCTTTTACTAATACTAGTTTGACATACGTGCGATGCACGTATCGTTGGTGAAGTTGGGTATTAAATAGTGTGTTATTTAAGGAAAAAAATGAAAAAAAAAATGAAGAAGGTTTTGACATAATTTGTAAGTGTATTGTAATTATACTGAAAAAATATAGAATATATGTAATTGGTTAGAATATGAGAAATGCTATTCATCCCCAATCTATGTGGCGTTAAATGATATGTGAAATTAAATAAGTCATTTAATTGCACCTATCATTTAACCAATTATTTACATCCACATAGATTGAGGATGCATCCCCACTAAGGATGAATATCATTTTTCTTAGAATATATGGACAAAACAAATTTTTCATACCACATCATCATATTCATTAATCTGATAAGATGGAGTGCCTCAATTGAATAAAAAATTGAAGTCTAACGATGGTGACAAAAGTGAAACAATGAGTGGGTGAATTTCAATGCATTTAATGACAAAAAA